TATTCCACATTTTGATTGTTTTGCACAAATGATTTCAAGTTTACAAAAGTTGGAATTTTTTGTTTACACCTGGATATGTATATAAATCCCTTTATCACCAAAATCAGAAAATTTAATAACCTTGGCACTGAAGGGTCTCCAAATATTATTTCTTCAACATTAAGCTGTCGTTTTAATCCAATGAGATTTCTCCAATGATTTCAGAACAAATCAGTCTAGACTGTTCTGTGATAAATTTTAAAAATCAGTAACAACAAATAAAGTAAAAATTAAGATAAGTGTAGTTCAAAATGGCAAATTAGCCTGAGATAGTGTGGTGATATATCCAATTATGTATGATAAGTACATGTCTATGTGTCATATTTCTTGAAACAGAGTTTTAAGTATTTAGTCACATGCTTGATTAGTTTATGTTCTTGTGTATTAATATATTTTTGAATTTGCTTAATATACTGTTTTTTGATTGAAAAGTGGGAGTACATTTTTTGTGAATTCTGTATAGAGTACCGGTATTTCTTTTTCAGTATTATAAAAATCACATCCTGTTACAAAATGTATTTCATCTTCAATTTCTGATGAAGTGCATTTTTTACAGATTCTTTTTTTTGCTTGTATTTTTGGCTTTTTATGTCTGCCAACTTCAATTTGAAGTTTATGGCAGCTCAATCTCAAGTGTGACATTACTTTGATGTCTTCTCTATTATGTAATAAATGCAGATTTCAATTTAAAGGAGACTTTAAGTTTTGAGATTAGAATCTGTTCTATTAATGTCACTAATACATGAATCTATATAGTGGTTCTTAGTTTTGACTTAGAATGACTGTTTTGATATGGTAATTGGGTCTCTATTGTAAATGTCCCTAATCAAGTCTACAACCAATTGTGCAGTCTACAGTATTTTATGTGGTATTTTTCGGTTTCTGCCTTGTCCCACTTGTCTGGTTTTATTATTATTCCCTAAGTTTCAAATGCATGGAGAAGAATTGGCAATTGGATCGTTTCAAATATAGGTTAATTATTCATTGGGTTATAATTTTGCTTATTTTGCTGACTGGAAAATGCGCAAAATTAAAACCCAGTGAATAATAATGTAAAATTTAGGATAGAACACATTATCTGAAAGATAAAAATGTGAATTTGAAACCCACTGAATATGCCTAAAATGGTAAATATGTGAAATTTAAATCAGGTGAAAATTACCAGTAGTCATTTTACAGTATGACACTCCCTCTAGCGGTCCCGAAATGCTTATGCGACATCAAAATGACAGATGAAAATGTTATGGTTAATCAATGCAACAACCAACAAGAAGTAGAAAATATATATTCCCCCCCCAAATGGTTAGAATAACCTTTGTCACCTCTTTATAGAATGGAATGTCCCGCAATAGACTTTATCAATAATAATGTTTGTGGTACTTGGTAAACAAACACAAGTATACACTGTCAATGCTCCATGTGCAGTTGGGAAGAAAACATATATATATATATATATATATATATATATACCGGTATATCCTCTATATAGGTATGAAAGGTACCTTCCATGATGACGTGTATACAGGGCATTTACAGTGTTAACAATTGACAAGCACATTCCACTATACAAAGAGAATAGGGGATTTTCCGTACAATTGCGAGATCTCGCGAGATGTATGAAAAACGCGCATCGAACGTCTGCCGCAAAAATCGAACGATTTGATTTTGAACTAGAATTTCTTTATTTCGTAACTCACATCGACCGGCCGATCTTCGACAGAGGAATATTGCTTCCGAATACCCTTACTTAATCGAAATTGCCTATCATCAAATGTGGACAGCACATTATTAAGCATGGAAATGTTCCCCAAAATACTTCGCGTTTGTCGAATCCCACGCGTTGTTTGACGCCACTACGACGCTATGACCTTTGTTTGTCCTGTTTTTACGTTCGATTTCACGCATAACGCGTGATTCTCGCAGTGAACGGAAAATGGTCTATTCAAAATAAAGTTATTATTAGTTCCTGCTCATAAATGAAGACTTTATAAGATGAGTAGATTCTGTTATTCCCTTATGGTGCGTCTGTCCAACATCATTCATTGAACATATTTGAAAGATTCCATTTGAATTTGGTAAGAAGGTTAGTTTATACATCGTATTTGCTCTATTAGTAGTATGCGCTTACGTAAATGCGCTTACGAAATGGTCTATTAGGTACAAGACAAACTTTTTTTAATACAACTGTAATACATTTGTCCTAAGGTACTTTCTGTGAACAATCTTTTGTCCTCGCTGTCTATCCGATTGTTATTTTGAATATAGTTTGTCGCTTAAAACGATAAACCGATGAACGACTACACAATAAAAAAAAACTAAGTTTTATTTCCTTTTTAACAAAATCATATATCTGGTATATCATTTATACACCAAATAGGAAAGTAAAACTTTCTAAATAAAGTTGTCTTTCTTGTCATGCATAGGAGGCCAGGAACCAGGAAATGTGAACGTCTTCCATTACGTTACACAAACGCATCGTCTGTTATGTTTTCATTGATTTTACCACAGAGCCATCCTCAGTTCACCATGGTCCAAGTGTTCTGTTTTTGTTTATTTCCCCCACAGTTGACTATAGTCCTACTTTTGCTATCACAAAACAGCTAATTAATAAAAGCAAAACACTGACAATTACAAATACTTGGGAAAAACATGTTATTGTCATTATGTTGTCATGTTGGTTAGTTTTAGGTGTATAGAAAATGATTATAAAGTAGGTCCTTAAAAATTGTGGGTTTGATTTTGAAAACCGTGACTACAGATTTCTCAGGTGTTTCACAAATGGAATATTCATGCAACAACATGTACACCTTCAAGTTGTGATTTCAAGAAAACAAAATTGCCTGCAATATTTTTTTGACGTTTCATATGATAAAACCATATGAAATATATTTAGCAAGAACAAAATCGTATATTGCAGTACTATTTCAATGAATTTTTTTTAAACGCGAGTTTTATGACAGCAAATGTATTTAAATTTGATAAAACGGATTGTTGAAGTAAAATTATACCAATAATGGCTTGAAATATAAATATTTGCCTCTAATTATGCATCAGTGTTTTAAATGTTGTAATTGTCTCTGAATCCCGTCTGACTTAACTTGGATTTTAGATTTGAATACAATACAATTTTAAGCAATATATTCATCACGGCAAGAAAACATTTCATGCATTTGTTGGGAACAGATTTATGTGATTAACATATTTGGGGATACCGTATGATATTCTTTATCTTACATTACGTCACTGTAGTTTATAGTCTATCACGTTAATGTAACTTGAGATTGCCCAGCAGAATGTAAACTTGTCACATGTGTGAGTCAAGGCTAACATGAGGCAGTAGTGTTTAGACCACGGAATAAAGTAGTCGTTCTTTTCAACTCTAAGTGACTGACTTGTTATCTGATTCGGTAAAAGATCCTATACCCCACAGCATTTTCCAAATTATATAATAAATTCTTTTACTATATCGAATATGTTTTTTTATCCTATTGAAGATGTTTTTCAACATGAAAGTGTGCTACAATTAGTGTGTCTAAGAAATTGTTGTAGCAATGTGAAATCTGGAAAACTGTACTCTTATATTAAAGCTGTCAATGAGAGCGCCACCAGGAAAAAACAAAGTCAACATAATATGAACTAGAGAGGGCGCCATGACATCGTAACATAATGGTGGGTTTAATCCATTTATTTAAATCTTTGTGCATACACTAAAACCAAACGTTACATTAACACACTTCTACTGAGAGTGTTTCCATGGTAATTTGCAGTTTTAAGGGTTGGTCATTACAAACTCTGGGAGGGGAAATGGTAGACAAACTGTTGTTGTTTGGAGACAATTTTAATTCAGGATCTTGCCAAAAAAATGTTATTTTTGTTTTCCTTCAAATGAATTTATTTTTTTTAAAAATCTACTTCCCTTGCGAGTTTCTGACAATCAACCTTTGTCAAAGGTGTTTGAAATGCAGATTTGTTATTGCAGGGCAGCTGAAATAAGTCAACTCACAATGGAATGGTGGCACTTGGTCGTTCTTAGGATACAGTGTACATATACCAACCAACAATGTTGTCATTTTCATGCCACATGGCTATTTTCACTGCATACATTGTAATTCACATCCCAGTTATGTCTATGGTCTGTGACAGTAATTTGGTAAAATTGTTTCTTTTACGATTTTAAATTTTCTTGACACATATTTGTGAATTTCACCATCAGGAATTTGTAGTAGCAAACATTTGTCTTGTATCCTCGCAGCAGGACGTACAGTGACCTTTGTCCAAATCATGGAAACTAGCTGCAACGTTAATTTAACCCTTACACTATACAACTGGTGTGTTGTACAATGATTCCACAGGGATGCCACTGATGATGCAGAAAGGTGACAGTAAGTTATGTCACATTGTAAACTTTAATGATCGCTTGGAAGTTTTATTTGTTCGTTCATGTAAATGTAAACATTGTAGAAGTTGATGGTACGAATAATAAATTACAACATCTAAAAATTATGTGGTAGATTTTTTGAAGGAGAATGTTTTTGGAGTAAATAAGATCATGAATATATTGCTGGCTGAAACGTTTCAATCGAGTTTCATTGAACCTTTTACAATAGACATTAATATTGCAACAATATTGTTTTTAGTCTGCAGCATTTGCATTTCATTTTTAAATTCAAACTCTTCTAAATTGTGAAACAATGTTTTAACTCCAATAAAAAAATATTTGCACTGTAATCAAGCTCATTAATATTCATGACCGACCAGCACTCCAGATAGTCTGGAGAGATCCCTGAAGGTGTTAAACATTCACTGGTCTTCTAACACTTGTTTGATATGGGACCTATGTACCATACACAACACGTGTAAAAAAAAACAATTTACACAAAATTCAAAGTATGAACTGCATTGCTCTTTAAATTTCACCTACGCGATCATTTTTGAAGGAACGAAGTGAATCTGCACTGCTATATTGAATTGAATACTTTATTTGCACAAATGTTCACAAACCCAATCCACCGCACATTAGCATTGTTTTATTATATACCTCATAAAAACTGAAACCATCACTTGTACGTAATGGCACATTTACAAGAAATTGTAGCATATGGGAAAGCACAGAACAAAGTTGTTTTTAAAAACGCACCAGTTTCCACTTTCCCAATGTCTGTACTAAACAAGAGTGACAGTAGAAAATATTGTAATTTACTTATACCCCCCCTGAAAGACCAATATGGTAATCTGAGCAGGCCACAGTATTTATGTAGAAATAAAATCTTTAATATACCATACTAAATCATCCACGCTTGTACAATATATTCACAACAGTTCACATACCGTATTAAGAATGCATCTCCAATAGAAATGCATATAAGCAAAAAATGGCATTTGTTTATTGTATATTGGATCATTAAAATACGATCTCATCTGACCATAAATGCACCTGTAATTTACATCAGTGTATGGTGTTACTATAACAAAACAAACATTATATTGACAAGCTGATCCACGTCCAACCACACAATGTACACTGTTTAAAATTAAAGAATTTAGCTCGTCCCTATATAAACAAAAACAAAATATGTACATTGCAACTTGGTAAAACCAAGCAACGGTTTCCCCAAAAATAAACAGAATATTCAAGTACCCTTGCAAGCATTCTCTTCCCAGTGGACCAACCTAATATAGGTATATGTACCAATATATCAAGTTGACTTCCAACAATCGCGTAATTACAATCCTCCGAGTCTATTCACATTGCATAAAGCCAGATAGTAATATCCGAATATATGTGTTTAATAAAACACCTGCTATTTTTTAGAGACATTTTAGTCACCAGTTCTGCCTTCCAAACTGGTCTCAATTTGTTCTAATATATAAAGTCAAGATTACTGTTATTTCAAACTCTTATTCAATTTTCACTTGAGAGTGACTCCAGGCATTTGCTAAGACACCACGGAAATTCCAATGTCCATGAAATGTGTTTGGTTGAACATTGTATGCCGAATCAACAGCCTTACAGACGATGTCTAACTCTCCATTGTGATTTTTCGGTATTGGTAATGTGACATGCCAAATGGTCCATGCCCAGTTCCGATTGAATGTTCGTTTCTCCTGTTTCAGTAATGCTTCAAACCATGTTTTACCGCCATCTAAAGAGACGTCGACACGGAAAATACCTCTCCCACCACCACTCCAAGCATAACCCTTGACGGTGATCTCCTCATCCTTACTAGAGATTGTTGAACCATTGACAGGGACGCAAACAGCCGACTGCACCGGGTATTCTTGTATCGGAGCCTGCTTTGAATAATCAGCAGTTTCAAGGGTAACCTCTGGAGAGAAACCTTTATAGTCATTTTGTTGCCAGTGACTTTGGCTCTCCTCGTCAGAAATGGTGATACGACCTAACCACTTGACATTGCGAGCACCAACAAAGCCAGGCACGACTACACGTACTGGAAAACCGTGATCTCTGGTGAGTGGTTCACCATTCATTTCCCATGCTAGCAGAACATCCCCCTCAGGATCTAGAGCTTTTACTAGAGGAATAGAAGCACCATACTGCTCAGATGTGAAAGGATCGATGTCAAGTCCTTCAAACTGAACGTGTTTTCCTTTATATGAAGGATCAGACTCTTTGAATCCCACAAACATAAGAACATCACGTAGTTTAACTCCCGTAAAGGTAGCATTACCGATTGCAGACTGCTTCCAACTGAGCCCTTTCACAGTTTTGTATTCATTCATCTCACTTCGTCTGTTACCAGCACACTGCAGTGTCGCTGTCACCGAACTCTTCCGGAACTTCTTCAAGTCTTTCAGTGAAAACTCAACTGTTCCTTCATCATCATCCTCGAAGGTCACTTCCAGCGAGTAGTTGTTAGGGTCAATATCAGGAACAGGAAGATGATTGCGAACATAGAACAGCTGCTGTGGAGTGGAGAACTTCTCAATGAGCAAATCAGATGGAGGCTCTCCATTAAAAGGTCTTTTGGAACTCGGGATGATTGCTGGATGCCGAAGAGGATCGTTCGCAAATGGATTATTTGGATCTGGTGTGTACTCTTTACGTCCCTCCTTGGCCAAGTTACCGATACGATACAGCTCTAATTGCTCAAAGACCTTAGCATTTTGATGGATCTCAAAAACCTCCCAGAAAGGTTCTAAGCCTCCTCCTGCAGCCATCATGATTCGATCACCACCAGGGTGAGCTGTAATGAACTCTGTTACATCATAGACAGCATCTTTATACGTCATCCAGATACCTCTGTTTGGGTCATCATGACGGGCAACTTCAGTAGCTGTGTATTCTGGTATCCCAGGAATCGCCTTCCCAGCATTTCCAGCATGTGATTTTATCTTTTTGGGATGAATCACCATTTTAGTATCTTCAGCTGGTAGAACTTGAACTGCATGTTGAATACTCTTCTTAGTTCCAGCGTGAGTGTAATTGGATCTCCAATATGCCACAACTCCAATCCCTGCAAACGCTGCCGCTGCTGCAGCACCAATCAGAGGTCCAAATTTAGTTTTCTGAGTACCTCCGGTGGAGTACTGACTTCTTCCATTCTTGTGCCAGTTGTTCCTATTCACTGGATTACAAATCAAACCATCTGTCGTGGTCTGGTCACCTCTAGACAGTGCAGTTGTAACATATCTAATGCATGAATGAATGAATTTTAAGTCAATGGTTAAATAAATATCACAGCTGTATATTATTACATTTTATTACTGTAAAACATGTTTTTTAGATAGCATGTTATTTTAGC